TAATCTTTGTCTATTCATCTATGTAGGATTGACTTCAAATTGTCTTTCATGAACCAAGACCACCTCCTCAAGTCTTGCAATCTTCTGGAATATATCCCCATATGTAGCTCTGCTCCAGGTAGATACTGCTTGTTTAAGCTTCTTTAACTTGTAGTTAAAAATGCAGAAAGGGTTAGCACTAAAATCAGCATTCCAATTATCCTTTACTACATCTTTGAAGGTTTCATGCTTTGTCCAGAAGTTAAGAAATCTGAATGACTTCTTAATTGGAGGAGTTTCTATATCACATTTCAGCAGCATTGGGCAATGATCAGACCCGATTTTGGATAGGTGAGTTATCTCCAATCCAGGAAAGGTCTGTTGCAATTCATTATTGCCAAAACATCTGTCCAATCTTTTAAAAATGTAGTCCTCCTCTGATCTTCCATTCCACCATGTAAATATGCTTCCTTTAAAACCCAAGTCTGTCAAGTTGCAGGTATTGATGCAGTGTCTGAAGTCATCTACTTCAATGAGGGAAACTGGCAATCCCCCATATTTCTCTTCCTCATCCCATATCACATTAAAGTCGCCTCCAACTAGCCAAGGTATTGTCATATGTGATGCCATTGCATACAACGTATCCCATAGTTCTATTCTTTCAGTGCGATCACATTTGGCATAGACTAGTGTAAGGATGAGCTCAACATGTGTTTCAGAGTGCATTAATCTCAAAGTCAACTATTGAGTCATGTTATATAAAATAGTAACCTCAAAAATTTCATCAATAAAAGCCCAAATCTTGTTTGACACATTCACCACAGCTTGTGCCAAACCAATTATTGCTCTATACCTCTCCATTTTATGAGATTGTTGCATAGGCTCAAGTATTCCTATGAACTCAAAATGATGTTTTCTCTGCATTGTAATCAGTCTTTCAAATACTTACATTGTGTTTACTGACCTGACATTCCATATAATGGCATCCATTAAATGTTTTGGGATTTGGACAGTGTTCTCCTTGTTTGTACTCCACTAACTGGGACAGTAGAAGTCTCTTTTGACTATTTTTTTTTCCTTAGCTGCAGATTTTACCAGTACAATAAGCCTTGGCGACAGATCTCCCTGCTTGGCAACATTAAGGAAATTTTGTGCAGTGGATTCCTCGTCCATGTTTCCACCTTTAAGTTCTGCATGGTTAACTTGGTCATGTGTTTCTACTTCTTCTTTTAATGTAACAATATCCTCTGCCTGGTTGATAAGTTCAGCATCTTTTGCATTATGTTCATTAGTCAACAGCATTGTATTGTTCAGTGGAACGTTACTTCCTGCTACATCCTGCATGGTGCTCAATGGAACAGTACTTCTTGCATAAACCTGCACTGTCATAGCTCGGTTCTTGTCTGCATTCCTGTCTTGTTTCTTGTCTGCATTTTCAGCTTCTTTCAAGACATTACTAACAGCATTATGTGAAGTCCCTCCTGGATCTATAATATTAATGTTCCCCTCTTTTGTCTTTTCTATTGCTACATTTGTGCATTCAAGAATGCTTTGAACATTAATTGCATTGGCATTACAATTAAAACTTTGATCCTCATCTTCCACTTCATTTCCTCCAATTTCTTCATCACTATGCATTGTATCTGGAATCTGACCATCTGCTAGGTCTTCCTCTATTTGGTTGAGCCATAATCTTCCTCCTGCCCATTTTTCTTTTTCATTGGTCATGAATTTCTCAAAATCTGTATCTTCAACAAATTCATTTTCTTTGTTGTTTGCTAATTGTTGTTCAACTTTGGTGTCCTGTGAAGGAATGTCTTGACATGAAGTATTGACTTGACCTACATTATTTTTGGATGCTTTTTGGACCCAATGGGCAGTTGACTCATTGTGAAAATGCTGCTCATTCCCCAAATCTTTTTGTACACAATGAGCTGTTGCTTCCCTATTTGCTGCATGATTTTTTATTGCTGTAGGATTAAAAGTAGGTGCTGCAGGGTTCAGTTTCTTGGGTTGTGTCTTGGATGATTGTCTCCTGGATGAGCTAGGAGAAGTTACCTTTTGTACTATTTGTCTAGTTGAAAAATCAAATTCCTGCTCCTCTGACTCATTCTCTACACCTGCTATGGAATTATTTTGCTGAATGTTGTTGCTTGTGGTTTTTTGAACTGGAGTTTCCTCCACAGCTGCCAATTGGTAACCTTCATTTATCTCACTATTTTCAATTTCTACCACTGCAAATTGGTTGGTTGTTTGTATTTGTTTTGTCACAACTGTATTGTTAACAAGAACTATTTCTTTCCCTTCTGTAGTAGTACCTTTAGATTGTTTGCCTTTGTTTAGTCCCCTATTGTCTCGAACTTCCTTCCATCGAGGGCCTGCATTACCAACTACCTTACCACTAGTAAGGATCATCAAAGGAGCATCATGTTTTGCCGGTTTCTTAGTGCCTTGTTTCAGATTTTCAACATTTTTCTGATGCTGGACATTTTTGCTTTCCCTTAAATCAGGATTAATTCTCCAACATTCAAGCATGTCATGGCCTTGTAACTTGCACTCTTTACAATACTTTGGCAACTAATCATAGTTAATGGTTACCCATTCAGTTCTAACATCCCCATTTACTTCATTGACAATGTCCATCCGAACTTTCTTGGGGAGGTCAGCTAGCAGATCCACCAACACTTTAACACGAGCACAACTAGGTCTAGTTTTCTTGACAGTAGCCAAATCCAAGTGAGGGGGTTTACCTACAGTAGAAGCTAGAGAGAACAAGCATTCTCTGACAAAATATGTAGGCTGCAAATTAGGGAATGAAATCCAAGCCATTACCTTAGGTGTCTCCTCTCCAACTTTAAATTTTGCATCATAGATCAAAGTTCTTAGTTGATATTCATCCCCATGCTTATACTTAACATAGTACACTCCTTTTGATGAGAAATCTACATAATCTTGCCATAATAAAAATCGAATCAAAATGTGCCTGTCACGAAGATATCCAATATTGCAATCAGCTTTGATACCACACTGCATAGGAACAATTCGACGTATTTCATTGATGTCTGGCCATCCGTATGAAAATTTTCACACAACTGCCTATTGTAGTCCTTCAATATAGTTCATACGTTCAACTTCTGATTCTGTAAAGCATACCGTTGGTTGTCCTTGAAAGAATTGGGCTTGTCTAGGGGGGATTGGATCAACTACTGCTGCTCGATCTTGCATTGTCGAAGTACTGGTCGTGGGTTTTACAGCGTTTGCATAATCCATAGTTTTTGGAACATTTATTGTTGTCGTGCAAGGCTGGGTGATGTTAAGGGGAGGTTGGGGAGGTGTCCTAGTGTTTGCGGGTAGCTGGCCGCTGGCCATAGTGGCCATGGCAGCACTCCGTGAAGGATCTTCCAACTGTAAAGTGTTTTTTCAAAAAGCTTGAGACAACATAGATCAACCTAGATTTTAGCGTCAACACTCTCTTGCACCAATGAAAACTCTTTTCCACGTTAATACTTATGACAAGAAAAGCACAGTTTTTGTTAATTCGATACTACAGTAACCCTTCAAAGCAAAATAAGATCTGTTTTTAATCTGTTGTTGCTTTTAGCTTCAAAACTGAGGATCACGCTTAAAAACAAACCATCCAAGTTGTGATTCAACCATCCAAGCTTCACGTTACATAAGCAGTAGCTATCACTGGCAGCAATGTTGAAATTGGCTAATGGGAGCTCGTTGCTACAGTAACTTTTAAAAGTAAAATTAAGATCTGTTTTGAATGGTGATAGATTTTAGGAAAAAATCAAAAGGAGATTGTTCACAATGAGAAGGGTGTTCTTTTGGTACCAATATTGTGATCTTACCTTGCCGGATTCTGGAATTATGGTCGATGAATAGTGACGGGATCACTATTCATGGTATCTATCTGTATTAGATAGAGCTTTTTAGGAAATGGGTTTGGGTTCGCGGATGAAATAATTTTAACATCTGCTCGGATCACTGTAGCTAACTCTATGCGATCGCATTCAAGCCCCTGCAATCACATAGACCAAAAATTCCATGGTCTCAAATTACCCTATGCGATCGCAACAGGCCCTATGCGATCGTAGTGCCTTACCAAACAACACTATGCGATCGCAACCACTTCAAGTGATCGCATTGAACAACCAAACAGCCCCTAAAATCCTTCTATGCTATCGCAACCCTTTATGTTATGCGATCGCATAGAGCAAAATTGCTCTGCACTGACTGCTGCATTTCTGCAGCATTTTCCAACTTCAAGAATTCCTGTTAACCATCTGAAATTACCCCCGAGGCCCCCGGGACCTCAACCAAAAGTGTCAACCCATCCTAAAACATCATTCAAACTTTTTCCAATCATCAAAACACCACAAACAACACCAAAACCATCAAATTACATTGGATTCAAGCCTAAATTTCTTAAAAACTTCTGAAATACGCATTTGATCAAAAACCCGACCAAAACACCTCCGAGTGATCTGAAATTTTGCACACACATCCCAAATCACTTAACGAAGCTATTGCAACTCTCGAAATTCTATTCTGACCCTCGTATCAAAATCTCACCTACCAACCGGAATTCGCCAAAATACTAACTTCGCCAATTCAAGCCTAATTCTACTCCGGACCTCCAAAATCAATTCTGATCACACTCCTAAGCCACATATCATCCCCCAAAGCTAACAAAATCACCGGAAATTACATCCGAGCCCTCTAACTCAATAGTCAATATCCGGTTGACTTTTCCAAAACAAGCCTTCCTTAAAGAGACTAAGTGTCTCATTTCCTATCAAAACCAATCCGATTTAACTCTAACACACCGAATACCGATAACGAAACATGAAGAAGAAAAAAATGGGGGAAACGGGGCAGTAACTCACGTGGCGACGGGCCGGGTCGTCACACCTCTCCTTCTCTTTGAAGAACCCTAGCCGACCTAAAAGATCTGTTATCACCTTCCTTATACGCATTCATACGCGGATTCTACTTACCTTTTCTGCTATTCTCACTCAGTTATGTTAAATTTCGTTTCCATTCTACTTATGGCAAGTTCAATTCTCACATATCTAGCCTTGACCCTGTGGATCTGGGTGCCAAGTGGCTCTACTTAGAAAGAGGAAATTTCTCTTGGTTATGGCATATCTCCATTTATTCCGTCGTGATTAGGACTTGTGAATTTTTCCTAAATACAATTCCAACAAGGGTTTAAAATTCTTACTTCCTCTACTGATTCGAGTGTGCGTGGATATATTCTTTTCTTTTTTGTGTTTAATCGACTGTTTTTCCTTGTTTTGTGTGTTTAATTCTGCTACAATAAAAACTCTTCCTCGGCTACCTTAATGGAGATATTAATCATTGTTATTCTATAACTTTCACTCTATCTATACTATTCTACACACTTGATTGTGGTCGGCTGAAAGCCAAGGCCACTAGAATCCTCTCTATTGACTTGCCTAGTGTGAACACTGCTCAGGGCTCGTTCGAAGCTCTTTTGAACTTTGACGCACTATGGTTTGGGGTCTTTTTGCTACTGATACTCAAGCTGTTGTTGGTACTTGTTTTTCTCTTCTATTTATATATTGAATCTGCAAATTGGTAA